GAACATTAAATTATAATACAGGATCATATCATGTACCAACCAACTAGAATTATCATTTCTCTTCATAGGTGGAGCGCCATATTGGTAAGCAAGACAATCATCAACTATTATTCTAGCTTGCTTTTTTTCATGTGCCCTACACACTCAAGCATTAGAATCAAGATGCCACACATAACCTGTAGCCTAAATAGTCCAAGAAAACTCATATTGGAGCAAAAATCTATAAAACACAACCTTTAGAGAATTGGAAACCTAAAAATAATATTATAGAGAAAATATATAATTTAAAATATAGCACCTTACGTAGTGCATTAGGTAATACAAATAAAGCTAATTTAAACACATATACAAAGATCTTATAGTACATATTAATCATCTCTTTTTTGTAATGCACTTCCATTAAAAAACCATAAACAACACGAAACTTTAAGATAAAAACCCAATTAATGAGGCATACACCAAATCAAAACCATTATTTAACTGAGCAAGTCGAATTAATTTGAAATCAAGTCAAATTGGACCCCTTAAGGGCGGAAGCTCTCCCAACGTCAGTTTTTCCATTCACAATACTTAAACTCAAGACCTTACTTAAAGAGAACTAATCTCTTTTCACTTGAATCAACAAGTTGTCAGTAATTCTCTTTCCTCTTAAAACAACATTAGAGAAAATATATATTAATTAAAATCTACTCATACACAACTCTTATATACATCAGTTACACAAAATCTTGATAATTTTTCTCTTTATTAAAAAGTAAATGATCAAACTTGTGTAAAGTGATATATGTAAGTGGTGTGTAAATAGATGCTAATTAATATATATTTAAAGATTTAAAGATATGAGGATTGTGTAGGTAAGTTGTCCTCCCAAAAATTTTTTTGAAGAACTTATCGAAAAACCTATTTTCTAATTAATATTTTCAAATATCAACCATTAATTAAAAGTTTTATTCATGTAAATCATGCATATTAATTTTCGTATTGATCCAACACTTATAATCCTTTGATAAAAAAAATCTCTATTTATTAACATATATTTAACTGTGTTAAATTTCTTGTAATCAATGAAATGATTAGGCATATTAGCACAATTTGAAAATTAACATGCATGATTTATATAAATAGAACTTTTAATCCAACAAATTGCTTTTGAAAATATTAATTAGAATGAGTCTTTAAAAATATCCTCCAAAAAAAAATTTAAGAAGATTACTTGCGAAATGCTTTTTGCTAAAGATATATAACTAGACATAGATTAAAATGGGGTTAATGTGTTGCAAGTCATCCTCCCAATTTTTTTTTTTTTTTTACTTTTTTTACTTTTAAGGACCTATTTAAAACTTACATTCTAATTAATATTTTCAAAAGCCAACTATTGGATTAAAAATTCTATTCATAAATTTTGCTTGTTAGTTTTCATTTGATCTAATATTTATGACCCTTTGATAAAAAAAATAAAAAAGTTATTTTTACTAACATATATTTAATTATGTTAAATTTTGTGTAATCAACAAATTGATTATGCCTACTAGATCAATTTGGAAATTAACATATGTGATCTATATAAATAAAACTTTAAATCTAATGGTTGGTTTTCAAAAATATTAATTAGAATTTGAGTTTTTAAACAATTCTCCTATGCACCTCTCTTAGGATTAGGGTTTGATAGCAATAGGTATCTTTTTGGGCTTTTCTCTTTGGTAAAGTTGCCCATTTTCTTTTCTTCTTTTCCCACTTACGTCTTTTTTCTTACAATATTGCAGATAACCTTACTTTGTTGCCCTTAACCCTAGGAACCACAAGGCACAGTATAACGATACTTTTAACATCATTCTCATATGCAATAGGTTCATCAAAATCCTATAGTTGTTATTTTCAACTTGTTTTAGCAAGATTTAATCATTCTTAAGAAGTTTCAAGTTCTTTAGCTACAAATACATTTTGGATTCATATTTTTAATGTTGATATTGGTTTAAACTCCGAGTATGCTAGTCACATGATAAGGAGTTCCTTAGTGAAGGTACTTGAGGTTGATGAGGGGTTTAACAAGGCTACTTGAGTAAAAAATGAGTTAGATGTGGATAAACCCTTGAAACAATTTAAAACCAGTTAAGTTACTCCTATTGAGAGTAAAAAACTTAGAATCAAATATAAAGTCTCACCAAATTCTATTTTGTGTGTAGATGCTAAGGTCACTTTGAGAATGATTGTGACATTACACATCATTTAAAAGAAGCAAGAAGGAAAATTATGAGGTGTTTAGGCCTTGATTGAAAGTTAAATTGGAGAATTCAAAGCTTCTAATAATATTGATGAACTAGATGCATCATTCTTTGCTAGTACTTTTTTTTTTTTTTTTATGGAAATAATATTAGCAAGGAGGTAAATTTAGGCCAAGCTACACGTAACATGGAGAATAGTTACCAAGCCAACTTGTCAAATGCCTAACAAAATATATTTATTGTAGTATTTATGGTCAGGGTATTTTAGAGCCAGTTTTCACACACCTCAAGACTAATTTGTCCTCAAGCAATCTTAAACACCCCCAATATCAGCTTAGTGCATTCAAGGAAATTAATTTCCTTAGGTGCTAGCCCAAAGACTTGAACCTTGAGCCTAACTTACAAGATGACACTTGTTTACCAGTGAATCCAACCCTTGGAGTTCACCTAACAAAATATTTCGACAGGGAATGCATCTAGAATTCACCTAACAAAATATTTCGACAGGGAATGCATCTAGAAAAGAATGAGAGCTTAGTTCCCATAACGGACGAATGCCCAGTAAAGATCCCTTTTCCCCAAGAAGCTAGTAACATTAAGAGCTCAAATAAGTTTAAAAGGTACATAGAGGCATATTGAATATGGACCTAAGACTTCATTAAGCAAGAAAAGGCGTTCTCATGGTAAGAGTAAATTTTGTTGTGATTCCATTAAGAATGAAAGAGTTTGAAGGTGCTTGTTGATAATGTAAGGGTGGCTTAGTTTGCATAGAGAAGAACCATGCTCCCCATAGGATGATGCTTATAAATATTTAGGCTAACAACTAGCAAGATGGAAATTGTTGTTGTCTTCCTCTCTTGCTCTCCCTATGATGGAAATTAGACAATTGCACAAGAAAACGTCTAGAGATCCATTGTGTATTCAAAGAGGGTTGATAATGATAGCTAGAGCTAAGAAGATGTAAACGCTATTAATGGACTTATTAAGGAGAGTTGGGCTAAAAGCAAAGCACAAGAAGTGAATTGAAGCTTGGAGGATTGTTAAGGTTTAGTGAATGTCATTCAAATCTAAGAACAACTTATTTAAGGTTGTTTTGGGCCAAATTGTTCAATTTGAATTAAAATCAGTCAATTTTGCCACAATTTGTTGCAAGTGACTTTTTGCAATATTTTAAGATGTTTTGTGTTATTCTAAGCTAATTTGCATTTTTTTTTAGTTATTTGGGCTTAACATTATTTTAATTTAAACACAATCCTTCTTTTATTAAGAGTAGCACATATCCCATCCTTCTGTTAATAGGACATGTGCATAACTTTAGTTGCCTATTTTGATTTGGACTAATTTAACTATTATTTCAAGGCTTATAACGCTAATTAAATGATGGTATTAAGCTTGGGATTAATTGAAAAGCTTTCCTCTTAGTTCATTTCCAAACTTATAGAACTTATCAAAATTGTTCTTATGGCATTCTAATATTACTTATCACTCTCATTCTTAATTGTCCTTGAGTATGGCATCAAAATTCTTCTTTTTACCTTTGGTTCATGTTTCGATATAAATAATGAGTCAAAGTTCATTTTTAAAATAAATCTAATTTGGCTTTCCTTAGGGTTCAAATTTCCTTGTGTTGCGTGTGGGTTTTATTACACTCTTTAAGGTTCACATGACCCCATCATGCTGGCTAAATAGGTGAGTAAGTCCAAAAGCTTAATAGTATGTTTGATTTGAAGGAAAATGAGGGAAAAGGAGAAGAGAAATTTCCTCTATTTAATTATTAAAAATTTGAGGGGAAAGGGAATGAAGTGAAGTCTTATCTTTTTTTTTTTTTCTTTTAATTTTTATACTTATCCAAATGAGACAAAAGAAGGGAAGGGATATATAGGGAAATGAAAGGATACAACATCTTTCCATTCCCCTCCTCTCTCCTTTGTTTTCCTCAAACTTAACATATTATAAGATGCTTATAATAACTTTCTTTTTTACTATAGTTGCTTTGTTTTATACACATATAGTGATTGCAAATGTAATCTTTAGTCACAAATGACCTTTTTCACTTAATTGTCTACATTGAACATAAGCATAGATTAAATCTACCATTAACACTATAAGTTATGTTTCAATCTTTAAACTCTAATGCCACATTATAAAGATGCAATGTAAGCTTACTTTGAAAGTACCAGCTTATAGCTACAACTGTTTATCTTTTTGGTCTTTTAACATCTTAAAAATATATTTAATATATTTAACATTTATTTTGATTAATATTTTATATATTTTTAAAATAATAAAAACATATAAAAGTCAAAAGCTAAAACTCTGCTAAACATTGTCAAATAAAACCATAACCTCTTTAATTATTAATAATGTTTGTCTAACATATATGGAAGTGATAGTGATATTAATTAGTATTGAATAAGTAAAAATTGACTTTTATTTAAGCAATTGTATAATTAAAATAATTTATATAACACTAATAATAAAATTAATGATATTTTTATATTTTTAATATTAATTAATATTTAAAAAATAAAATAATTATACTTTTAACATAAGCTTAAAACACATGTTGAAAAAACCTTTATTAATAAAGTTTGCGTCTTATAAAAAAATATTCTATAAAATAAATTTTGAAGGTCTTTTCAAGGCATCATAAATTCATAATAATTCGAGTTAGCACTCGGGTAGAACTGTAAATAAGGAAAAGATTAGGGGCATTTCAGTAACCGCTGATTTCATATTTCCTGTATATAAGATCCCTGACCCAGTGGGCACAACAGGATTTCCTGTTATCCGTTTCTTTTTGTTCTCTCTCTTAATAAAAACCAAGAAAACGCTCACTACACCAGCACAAAACACGAAATTAGGGTTTTTGCAGTTCCTTGAATTCCTTTCCGCCATGGAGTCAGAGTTGATCAACGGTGCCTCTTCCTCCCCTGTGGCCTCTAACTGCCGGGATTTATCCAGAAAGAAGAGGGTAATACGCTCTCTCGCTCGATATTTGTATATTTTATGCGTTCTGATGTCTTGTGTGCTTTCTTAATTGACGTTTTCGGTTTTCAATTTTGGATTTTTAGAGGTCTGCCAAATTGAAGCAGTGCAAGTTGGATGCCCGCCGCGAGCAATGGCTCTCTCAATGTATGTGAATTCATCGCCCTCTTTTTCCATTCCAATTCTTAGAATTTCTTAATTTTCCTATTTGTTGACGTGATTTCTTTTTTGGGTGTATTAGGCGCGGTGAAGAATAACGTTTGCAAGGATGATATACATGGGAAGTCGTCAAAGCAAACTTGTGGTGGCTGGAATCGTTCGATGGAGAATTTCGAGGTGAGGAGAAGAGGCGAGAAAAGTGGAGGTGGATCGACCCAACATGAGAGCGACTCTGAGTCTCCTTCAAACAGCCCCACCAGCATCCTTTTAGAAGGTAAGGATTGTGGTACAACCTTCACCAATAGCAGCAGCAGTAGCATTACCAGTACCAGTAGTGGGGGATGCTGTTCTGGTGGCATCTCAGAAGACGATGGAGGAGGCGATGATGATACCCTGGACAATTGGGAGGTCATTGCCGATGCATTGGCAGCTGATGAGAAGCAAGAAACTGAACAGAATGAAAACTCGTGTTTAGGGTCGGTCACTGAGCCTGAGCCTATTTTCGAATCTGGGGGAACGAAAAGTGGGGCAGGGTTGGATGTTGGGAATTCAAAGCAAGAGAGCACAAGGATGGTGCCGAGAGCCATAGGGAACAGCCGGGCTTGGAGGCCTGATGACGCTTTTAGGCCCCAGAGTCTGCCTAATTTGTCACAGCAGCTTAGTTTTCCGGTGACAGATCGTCATTGTGGTCTGGGAGGGGTTCCTTGGGCCAGTCCATCATCTTGTCCTATATGCTTTGAAGATTTGGATTTCACGGACTCAAGGTTTTTGCCTTGTTTGTGCGGGTTCCGACTCTGCCTTTTCTGCCATAAGAGGATTCTTGAGGAGGATGGACGCTGCCCCGCTTGCAGGAAGCCATATGAACAAGATCCTGTGGAGGCAGAGCCTAATATTCTCGGAGGCAGCTTGACGTTTCGGTTGGCTCGTTCTTGTAGCTTGATTGCAAGGTCTTAGAAGTAGCTGCTCTTTTCATCAACTGTGTATGTTGGGTTTCTCTTTTTCTCATGTCCTACTTGTTATGTTAGTAACTTGGTACTAGTATTTTGCTGCTGTTAGGATCTGATTTTCATAGACAGATGTGGGTATTATTTGGTTTACCTTTGGGCAGCCGAGAATTGAGCTGTTCTTTCTATGAGTTTGGTTCTATCTCAATGGTGTATCTGCTGATGTAGAGGACTAAGTTTGGTGTGTGAATAGATAACGTGGTATAGAAATTCAATACATAATAAAAGATATTCGAAGAGTTCATTGAATATCATAATTTCAATTTTCTTATGCATATTATATTTATAAAATTGAAATTTTAGTTTGAACAATCAATTTTTCCAGATAGACACTTTATGTACTAACTCCTGTTCTAGATACACCTATTACATTTAGGGTTTTAACGTGTTATTCTATCTTCTTTTTTCATTTTCATGTTTTTTCAATTTTCTTTTCGACTTATTGAAAATGATCTAAAATGAAGGATGGTTGAATGAAAATGTGGTGATCATGCATACTTATATTTCTTGCTGTGAGTAGATTGGGTATTTTCAGATCCAATTTCTTCTTCCACGTAAAACAGATCCAATTTCTTCTTCCATGGAAAACAGATGTCTTGGTTTTCATTTGCCTCTTTTCCTGGTTGGAGTTCTGGTGATTGATACTTCACTTTTTTTTGTTTTCTATCATTGTTTAAAGGTACCCGTGACTAATTTTGAGTGATAAATGGAATATATGGTTATGAGATCTTCACCAGTTCTCAATCCTTGATGTTCAGCTTTTGTTTTATTTTCCCCTCCCTATTGGATGTCTAGATGTGCAGACATTTCAGTTGTGGAGAACTGATGTGGATATGAAAATGCAGTGTAGTTTTAGGGTGTGTTAGGGATTGCCTTCACAGCACTTTCCTACACAACTATGCACTATTAAAAAATTTTAATTTGTTATATAATTAAATTGCTTTTAATTAATATTTTTATATTTTGATAATTATATGAAACTTCCAGAAAGTAAATAATTATCTAACATTAATATAGTTTTAGCAACACAGAAACTGCAACAAAACCACATAGCAATACCAAACTCACCCTTAGTTGTGTTGATATAAATGTGATTCAATTGTAAGCATTAGCATTAATATTTATGTCAAGAGAGCTGTCTTTATGATAAAAAAATTCTCAGGTTTTAACCTTATGTCATTAAAATGGCTAGAGTTGTGGCTAAACTAAAGAGCTGGAGTTGTGACTAAACTAAAGGACTGGAGTTGTGGTTAAGCTATCTTCGGGCTCACTATTTTTGGAAGTTTGAGATTCATTCGTGATTTTGTGCTAGTCATAATTTGAAACTGCTCTAATATCACAAACATAGCAAATGAGCATGAACCGATTAAAGGAGTAAAGGTCTTCTAAAACTCTACTTGTGCCACCTTTTCGTTATCTCACTAGGGGGGAAAGACATCAAATCTCAGTGAACTAATAAAATTAGATGCTGATTAATCTTTTTCATGATAGATTCTTCATCCCAATTTATCTCTTTACCATATATTCTCCTTTTTTCATACAGATCTAGATATTTAGGCATTGGGTTAAGTATCTTTTGAATGTTTGGTAGCCCTTTTTTGTGTATGCACGTATTTTTTCTAATGTTATTTGTGCAAACAAATTCTTTAATCTCTTTGCTTCATATGCTGCGTCCTCTTCTTCTTAGTGAATGCTTCTGCTCCTCATCAGTTTTTCATTTATATGTTGTTGCTGGGCTTTTCAAGCTTCCAATGACTCTAGACATCATGAGATCATGAGAGCTAGATCATATTCTAGATCTTGACCGTCATCTTATTTTTTCTTTTTCTTTTTTTTTTTTTTTCCTTTTAAGTGTATGGAAGCAAATTTGTTTTTTTTTTTTTTTCAATGTCATTAAACTTCTATATGCATTTAGAGGAAATCATTAACATTTAAATGTATCAAATAAAACTCTTTGGATTGGGACACCTTTGTTATGAAAGGGTTCGTAGATCGTAGTTGCACCTACATTTCTAACATTACCTCTGTGTTGTGAAGATAGGGGCGTGTTTGGTTTGAGGGGAAATGGAGGGAAGGGGAGGGGAGGGGAATTCTTTTTAGTAACCATAAAAAGAATTCCCCTCCCCTCCCCTTCCCTCAAGCCAAACATACCCTAAGTTGGTGTTTTCTCAAAAATGCCAAAAAATAATAGAAATATGGAGAGAGGGGAGAAAAATAGTGGTGACACCAGCTTTTCATCTCAAGGCTGTTATATTGGTCAACTGGTATTCCGCCTGCTATGCTTCGTTTATTTTTTTCCTATTTAATACTGGCTATAATCTGCACCATGTTCTTGCCCAAGAAATTTATGAGGGAAAACTTTGATTTAGTTCAAGAAAGGTCTTCTAAGTCTCTGACAATATTGAGATTAGCTTTTCAGTTTTACCTTTAACTGTTTCTCTGTATGGCTGGGTGGAAGTTTTTTTTTTCTAACCTTTTTTTTTCGGCCTGGGTGGGAGTTGAAGTGGCTTTTTTTCACATTCGTTGTTTGAACCTTTTTCTTTACCTTTTTTTCGGTGTCTGATTCATGTAGATATTGTGAGGAGCATCTGGAGAAGGGAAAGATTCTGCTTCTAACCTTCCAAGGTATCTCTGTTCCACACTTGCACTCGTCTAAATTCGTAAGTAGTACACAAATTTGGCTAGTGTTGTTCAATACATAAAAGTAATTAAGATAGAATCTTATTTTTTGGTAGTGATTAGTTTGTTCCACTGTTTCAAATGCATCAAGTGCTAAATTCCATTGCTAATTGTAATTAGGTTAAACCCCCCATTTTGGTCCCTCAACTATCGTATGGACCCCCGACTTAGTCTCTCAAGTCAAAAAATCTCTGATTTGGTCTCTACTGTTTACCATTTTGACTCTGATTTAGTCCTTCCGTTAAAAATCTAGTGACATGTCCCGTTAATTAACTAGAGAATGATGACGTGTCCAAATAACTTGACACATCA